GCATGTTCTTTAGACAGTGTAGAATGGCAAATACAAATTTGCCTCAAAAATATGATATAACTATATATCTGACTAGAATGGGATTTCCTTAGGAAATGGGGAAAAGAAAGGCTTACCAGATACTTCTTCATCATGAGCTTTCATTGTGAAGACTGGTTTATGGGAACGAGCATCAAGATAGTACACAAATCCATCTTCTGTGCTAGCCTACAACAAATCATTTCCAGAGATTTTAAAAATAAAATCAACAGGCAAGCCACCTTTCTCAATCTGCGTGATCTTTCGGAGGTATGGACTTGAAATCCCAGAACCGAACCATCCAGCTTGAATGGCCATTGTAGAGAATTCTGGAAGCTGAAAGGGCGGTGCTGAAGTTGGGCAACACTGCACAGAATAAACAGCTGGATGTTTGATGGCCAACTCTAACCATGCAGGTACTGTTATTCCTGATTTGATAACAAACCTATGGCAGCATAACTTGCTATATTTGAGTAGATTTTAGACTTCACTGTCAGGAACCTCTACATTACCAAAGCATCTCTTAATGGAATAAAGGTAATATAGCATTATCGAATCCCAGGCAGCAAGACTTCCATTTATTAGTGTTTTACTATAATATACATTATTTTATGTCTTAAAATATGCTGGTTGCCTTGAAAATCTTGGATGATAGATATAATAGGACTATGCAACACTTCAGATTCTAAAGAAAACAGATGCTTCCAAGAGTACACAGGGACACCTGTTGCTAGGGTCACTAACTGGAAACCCTTTAATCAACTTTTTCCAAAGATTGCCCTGCACGTATAGTAATAGCAATAGCACTTAGACTTATGTACCGCTTCATAGTTCTTTACAGCCCTCTCTACGCGATTTTCAGAGTCAGCATATTGCCCCCAACAATCTGGGTCCTCATTGTACCAACAGAAGGCTGAGTCAACCTTGAGCCAGTCAGGATCAAATTGCTAACTATGGGCAGAGTTAGCCTGCAATACTGTATTCTAACCACTGTGCCACTACAGCTCATCAGAAGTTATATGATGCAGTTAGGAAAGGATGCAAATGCAATGCACCCCACGACTGATCCTGTGAAGCACTTTCTTTTTATCTTAATTACTTATTTAATAGGTTTTAGGGCTGTCTAACTTAAACAATATGACTCTGGATGGCGTACAACGAATTGAATTGAAATGCTACAAAGCCTGCATAAATGCGTACAATAGAATGGACAACACAAAACAGAAAGAACCATCAGGTATTGTATTTACTAAGAAGTGGTGAGGTGAAAAATGATTCCAAGTCACTCTTTCAACTTGTCCACTAAATCTCCAGATTCTATGGTTGTCCTGTGGACTTCTGCAGTCATATAGGATGGCTGATCTGAAAAGTACCAATAAATATTTATTCAAATTTGGCACAATATTTTTTTAAACATTATAAACTAAAATTAATTTACCTATGAGACACAGAGAGGTCATTTTTTCTAACAAAATACTTCTATTCCAGCTGAGTCATTAGTAAAAGTAATAAACAGTGAAGGCAAGCCTATAAAGTGAAATTACTGACTTCAAATGGTCTTGTTTCTAATTAAGTATGCAGAGAATGCTAATGCAACCTGATGCTAAAATCAGGGTGACCGTTCCCATTAAGAATATACAGAGAAGCACTTCCATAAATCATACCAAAATTCTAGTACGTGCTTTTAAAGAAGTCACTGTTAACAAAATATTCTGTGTCAAATAGCTTATGAAGGAAATACAGGTAGTACTTCACTTACAACTGTAATGGAATCTACTTATTATTGTTGTAAGTCCTGATAGTTATAAAATGGGTTACCCATATACCGTATTTTTCGCTCTATAAGACGCACCTGACCATAAGACGCACATATCTCCTTGATTAGTTTCCACCCATTGTTTCTTGTCTTGCCTTCTGAGGCTTTGGAAAATAAATTGATCCTCTCCTCTTTGTGGCAGCCCCTCAAATACTGGAATATTGCTATCATGTCAACCCTAATCCTTTTCTCTTCCCATTTCCTGCAACTGTTCTTCGTATGTTTTAGTCTCCAGGCCTTGACATTTTAGTCTCTCCCATCTCCCAGCAGAAAATTACAGGTAGCAGTTTTAAATCATGCAGCATAAGGATAATAACATTTGGAANCTGCCTTCCACTCACCTTCCATTTGCTGTTTCGAGCCTGGGAAGAACACTATGGGTGAGAAGGAAGAGGAAGTTCCTCAGCCCTTCTCCTCTCCGCGACTTCCTTTCTAGCAATACTCGATGGTGTTGTGTTAGAGCGCCACCTAGTGCCAGTATATGCTCTCCTCCCCTGCACTCAGGCTTCAGCTCCAGGCAGCATTTGCTCCATAAGACGCACAGACATTTTCCCCCACCTTTTGGGGGAGAAAAAGTGCGTCTTATAGAGCGAAAAATACGGTAACCAATCCCATATTATAATTTTTTTTGTGGAAGTTAAACAACAATGGAGACTGTAAACCAAACCCATTGTTTGGTATGGGACCTGAAAATGAAACGAACACCAGGTTTTGGCAAAAATGTTGTAAATTGTGGTCATGTGACTACAGGACACTGCAAATAGCCATAATACAGGTGGAGTGCTTGAAATGCTGTCACATGACCACGGGTGGGCTCGCCATCGAATGTCATAAAGTACCTTTTTCAGGGTGTTGTCATAACTTCAAATGATTGTTAAGTGACCAGTTGCACGTCGAGGACTATCTATATATTACATTTTATTATTTATCTCTGCCATTGTATGGTTTATATATTATTACCTGTACTTTTATATGTGTGATAGATGCAATAGAACAAGCTTGTTCTTACTTGTCATAAGAGCCAGAAATGAGAGTCTGTGTTTCAAATGGATGAAATTGCAAAGTTTGCACCTAAAAATAACAAATATATTTGTATCAAAATGTAGTTTTACAGTGTACATGATTTTAAATAATTCTCACTATAATTTTTTCACAAACGGAAAGGAGTGTTCAATGATCTGTTTAACTGCTAATTTAAGACAGAGTAGCATGCAACCATCAGCATGTAAAATTTATATTAGCTAAAACTTCATTATGTAGAACAAAAAGTGTGGAATTTTTAATTGGTTGGAACATTTATAATTAAATGTTATTTCTACAGAGCTCATTTCACTAGAATGCAAACATCTAAAGTAATAGCCATGGAAAACGAAGATCAAATCTTGTTTGAATAATGAATAATTATGTTAACTAGGAGTTGACATTAATTTCTCCCACTGGGCTGTGATTGCATAACTTCTCACAAAATTAGCCAGTTACATCTAAAATTTGAGAGTTTTTCTCTATAGATTTACTTGGCTCATCAAACTGGGAATATAATACCGCTAAACCTGTACTTAATAGGGCCAATGAATGTTAAAATACACGAGTTTTTCATAGGTACGTAAGAACAGATGCAGTTTTCATCCCTAAAGCTGCCTATCATAATTTTTTTAATAGAATGGATAAAAAGTCCCATCCTTCTTAGCACTTGATCATTTGATCTCTTAGAATTCAAAAGCAATTAATACTGAGCTTTTGAACCTAGTTTTGCTTTGACTTTTTCATTATTTTTTTTTAGTTTTTAAATCCAAAATCAAATTTCCCAATTCTATTTTAGTTCTTTATTCATTTATAAATATCAAATTTAAAGACTGCATATCTCACTCATAAAGCAAATCTTTTCATAGATGTAGCAGTTAGGCTTAAACATCAGTTAAAGTGAAGTTTATTTAACTATGAAATATACAATGTACAAAGCCACATTTTAATAAATCTCAATAGTTAAACATTCATTAAATTAATATTTAAACATTTATAATTAAATATTAGTGTATTAATATTAAATAGTTAAATAAAAATATTTATTATAGCAATCCCAGTCCTGTTCAATCTGTTTTTGCTTGCATTTTATCATGTGCTGTACAAGATCTGAAGAAGGGAATATATTTCAGGTATCCATTGGACAAGCTTGAACACATAGATGAAGTACCTCCATATGGTCATTCAAGAAACTCTTTTTGCTGATGACTGTGTGATCCTGGCACACAATGACAATGATGATCCATAGTTGATACTGAACAAATTTTCAGACACTGCTATGTTCTTCAGCCTGATTATCAGCCTGAAGAAAACTAAAGTACTTATCATCCCATTTCAAATATAAACCCTGCAGAACCAAGTATCATTGGTGATAACACCCAGCTGACAAATGTAAACAGTTTCAATACACGGGAAGCATAATTTTGAATGATGGGTCTTTGGACAAAGAAATATCAGGATCAACAAGGCCAACTGGGGTCTGGCTTGGCCGCATATTAGAGTGCTCAATCAATACAATGTCTGTATCTCTACAAACCTAAAAGTCTACAGAGCTGTGGTTGTCCCTTCGCTCCTATATGGTTATGAACACACCAAACAAGACAAGAAATTTCACATACATGCTGTGAGGGAAACTCTACACCAGTGATGGCGAACCTTTGACTGAATGCCCAAACTGCAACCCAAAACCCACTTATGCATCGTCGAGTGCTGGGTGGGTGTGGCCCATTGGGTGGGTGTGGCCAATTGGGTGGACATGGCCAATTGGGTGGGCGTGGCTGCTGTGGTAATGGCAGACTGGGTGGGAGTAAAAAGTTCAATCAATCAATTCCAACTTTGCAAGATCTTTTTTTTCCCGTGAGAAGTTGAAATTGACTGATTGAACCTTTTTTTTTTTTTTTGCACATGGCGGCGGAGGCCTAAACCAAAAAGGTTTTATAAAACCCAGCTGAAGGCCTAGGACTGGGGCGACGGCACTCATGCCCACAGAGAGGGCTCTGAGTGCCGCTTCTGGCACCCGTGCCATAGGTTCGCCACCACTGCTCTACACCATTGTGCTAAACTTTGTGCTTCCAGATTGGGATTGCACAGCTACCTCTATGTTCACAGATGAACTGCACAACAGCATGGCAACAATTTGTTGGTTCATAAATTCTCATTTAGTAAGGCTCTAAGATACCCCACTCCTCTTTTTCCTAGCTTATTAAAGAATAATGACCATCTGAGGGGAATATAAATGTTTCTTCAAAAACCACAGATACAAATAAAAAAAAACTTAAAATAGTTTTGCTTATATTGCTTACACATGGAATAGGAAGATGCTGTTCCCGAAATTAACCATGAAGTACTGAAGCTCTTCCAGGGTAAGAAAAATGAGAAGCTAATTTTCTAGTGGCAACTAGAATAGATACAAACTCTCTGAATGAAATTGGTTTTTCTTTTGTATTTTACCAAAAAAACAACAGTATTAGAGAGAAAAAATTGCATTTGTTGCCATACATCTGTATGATATCCTATTGTGCCAGATTTCCTTGTTATTTTGCTGCAACAGATTAATTCAGCTCTGCTTTTAGAATCAACATACCTTGTCTGTGTGAAGAGAAAGAGTTGCTGCTGTTTTGCCCTTGGACATGTCCCAAAGAATTACAGAATGGTCAGCTGAGGCACTTGCCAAGACAGATCTAAAAGAAACAAACATATTGATTTGCAAACAGTGTAAATGGCAGGTCTTAGATCAACTCATGTTTTACCTTTATTCTCCAAAGAATAGAGTTGAATACCTGAAACTATTCAGGTATTATAGACTGCTCAGACATTTTTGTTTTAATTGAGTGGCAGATAAATTGCCCAATGAATTAAATGTATGAATAAATGTAAGGTAAATAACCAAACAGTTTCTGAAAAAGTATTTGCTCTCTTGAATTTTCTGACATTTTGCATGTTCTTGTTAGGGATTGTTATTGAACCTTTAAACAGTCCTACTGAATGAAAACCTAGGTTTGATGCCTGTTTCATTCATGTCACAGTTAAAATAATCCTATGGGGTGTAATCCCACTGTCCCTTTAGATTCCATAATTGGTTACATGATCTTTAGCTGCAAGAACTGCAGCCAAACATTCCCTGATCATCAGTATCTCAGATTGCTGTATAGGAATTTTTGCCCAATCCTTCAACTTAGTTACCTGCTGGTTTTAGCCCGCCACATTTTTGTGGGAATTAGGTTTGGACTTAATTTGCAACATTTATTCTTGTGAATAACATATTCTTCATTATCCATTCTCTTGATTGTATATTTGGATTCTCTTGCAACATGATCTACTTGATTTCAACTGATACACTGATGACATAATATTGTCCTACAGAAGTCTCTCATCCAGAGCTGAATTCTCACTTTGATGTAGTGGAAGTCAACTGCGCATTACTTCAATGTGTATGTGAGCTATAGAAATATTTTTACAAGCTTCCAGTTTTATGCAGTAGTGCAGCAGCCAAGGGATCGCAGGGCTCCGCACCGTACGGGCCGATTATTTTCCTGTTAGGGGACCCTAAATGGGCCTAAAGTCGTCCCGGAGAGGCGACAAAGAAGGAGGGGAGCCCCGCAGACCGCGGAGACGGCGGTCGATCCAGTCATTCGTGGAAAGCCCTCCAGAAACCAGCAGAGTCTAGCCCAAGCTACAAGCAGCCGAAACCAAAAAGCACTAATTTAAGCTTGATCGTAAACAACATGTTTGGAACTGGGTAAGAATATCGATTCTCTCTCTTCTACTTGATAACTGATTTCCTGGAGAAAAAAACCCCAAGAAGCAAAAATCCTTTGAAAGTGAGAAGGAGGGGGACTTTTACCCCACCTTCCCACAGAAGGAAGCGACGAATTAAGATACGAGAAATGTAAAATTGTTGGGATGGCTTGTATGAGGAAAAAGACTTAAATATTTAAATGTAATTAACTTTGAGAAAATTTTAACTGGTAAGAATGTTTTGAACACTGGGGAAAACAAATCTAAATAAGAACTTTGAAAACAGGATCTATGACGAGGTAATTAAGATGACCAATTAGAAAAGAAGCTTTATATTGATGTGGTTGTTAAATATTAGAAAAATGTTTATATTCAATTGTTATTTATCAAAATACTAAGAAATGTACTAATTTAAGGTTGATAAAAGAGAATATTATTGGAAGAAGAGAAAATGAAAGAAAGCTGCTATGTGGATTATGGAATTATAGAAATTAATTATTGTTTTTAAATATAAACCCAGACAACATGCTATCTATCAAATATTAAGGTGACTATGTTAAAGAATCAATAAAATATATTTTTTAGAAAATAAATATTTTTACAAAACATCATTTATACTAATTTATGTTTAAATATATATTTTTTACCTGAGATGTTTATTCCACGAAAGATCAAGCACTGCATCAGTATGCCCCTGATGGTCTTCTTTTGATAAATTCTTTATGTAAAAAGATTAAGAACTTTTTAGAGTTTCTAAATATAATAATAAAAGATATTAATTCTATAACTCTTGCACAAGTTTCAAAACTTGAAAGCAAATCCTTGCCTTTGCTCCTATAGCCTACTGATGATTGTCTTAAATAGTCTCAAATATACAAGATCATTCTAATTCAATATTTTCCATGATAGCTGGCAGCAACTATTCTGAGACCCAGACAAGAATCTTTACCCACGGTTTTTTAACAATTAAAATATTTCTAAATATTAAACAGAAAATGAATTTGAAAGTGCACTATGTAAAAAAAATAGGCAATCTTTCTATCTCAGGAATCAAGTTGCAAATGTCCAGATACAGCTTGGAGCACACACAGGCACATGTATGGAGAAGCTTTCCCGTGCACACTTATAGTTATCACGAGAAAATTTTTATCAGTGAATGACTGTACTAGGAAAGACAGCAGGGTGGGATAAATCTCACCAACTGTTATCTCCAGGAAGTCTGACAACTTGGTGACCAGCAGCAGGCAACATAAAAAATTTCCAAGAGTAACATTTGTAGCTCATGTATAGAAGTTAGTGCAAATAAATAAATATGACAAAGACTGAAAAGGCAAGCAACTTTCTTACTGAAAAAGTTTAAACTTTATTAATACGAGGTTTGTTCATACCAACCTTCTTTTGTTTCTTTTTCTTTGTTTTTGCCTTCTTATTTCCTAGTGAAAAGATTGGCTCTAAAGAGTCCACTATGTCAAGATCCCAAATTTCAATAACAGGATTCATTGTGCCAACAGCAATATAATTTCCTAAAGAAATATCCATGTTAATAATGTATAGGCAGGTAAGGGAACTTTGGATCAGGCATGGGCACCCTTACTGTACCTGCTATTCTTAGAAGTAAATGTTACTTTTTCATTGCTGTCATAACCATGAATGATCATTAAATGAGGCAGTTACTAAACGAAGACTACATGTATTGAGTTAAGGAGGCAGCTCAAGCATATATTTTCTCAGGCCCATGATGTTAGCATGCAGGCCCAGGAAAAAATTGCTTATGCCATATCCAAAGCACTGCATACATCTACCAATGTAAATTTCTACTAGTAAATTTATCATCTGATGTCTCTTTAAAGAATGAATTTTATTTTTGTTACTTTAAGCTTTTTTTGAGATTATAGAAAAGATCTCTGTTTATTGCAAGGTTGGAGGTTGAACACATAGAAGCAAATTAATCTTGAAGGGGAGCGCATTCAGATCCATTCAATACTGGATGAATACCTGTTTAAGCTTCACTTTGGTCATTAATTTAATTATCAAAATATGTCACAGTTTGGAACTTGATCAGTTTTCCTTGGATTTAGATGGAAAGGAGATGTGTGCTTAAACACTGAAGCTACACATAATTTCTCCCAATAATCTTATTATGTTACATAATATGGGACACAGTGATATCCTGAGAGACTTTACTTCCTCAGGAAAGATAATAAAAGACATCAGAAAACAATGCCTGAAACCTATTTAGCCACTTGATAGGTTATCACAGCCATTGGAAAAATAATATGATCATTATCATTAATACTGGATAATAAGATTCCCTGGTCTACTGTAACATTTAATCTCTTTCCTACAATCCTAAAGGGCAATGCCTGGGAAAATCTACTTCTAAGTTACACAGTTTTAGAAGAGAAACAATCCAGAATGAAAACAGGAAACTGAGAAAAATGATTACTGAGGTAAAAATATAAATGCTCAGTGAAAAAAAAAGGAAAATGAAAATATGTGATAACAAGGAAAAAAAACATAAAAACAAAAAATATTTGTTCCCAACTGTCTCTCTCTGCACTTTCATATAGATGTCCCCTGCTAATTTGGGTATTATTAGAAATAAAATGATACAACTTACCTGCAGAATCATTGGGATTAGGATCAAAGTCCATCCATTCCACACTTAAGGGGTATGCAGATAAAATAAGATCATGATGGACATAAAAGGAATCTTCTTCATGATTATAAACTGAAAAAATTAAGTAACTTCCTTTAAGTAAATAAAAAAATCATACTCCCATTACACAAATATATAAAACAAATAATACGCTTGTTATTGAGAAAAGAATAAGATTAACATTATCATTATATCACAAATCAAAAATGAAATATGGGAAGATATTTCTGAGTTCCTTTATAGAAACTATATTTTTTATCACAAAAAGATTGTCAAGCATATGTTGTAATCTTCCCTCTCTTCTACCGTTTGCTGATTTCTAGACAAACAGAACTCAAAAGGAATACACTTTGAACAAGTCTCCCACAGGTTGACAATATCAGTACTAATCATATTAGATTTACTTATTTACACCTCTGCATTTATTAGACTTATGCTATACAAGAGATGATCCAATAAGCAATACAAGAAACAGCAGAGCTCAAGGGCAGTAATAAAACATGCTAAGACTCCAAGGAACTGCTGGTCAAAACAAACACAATTGGACCAAATGGATAAGTAGCCTGATCTAATATAAGCAATATTTCAATGTTATGTTTCAATATTATGGAAGATATATAAATTATTCCAAAACATGGAAAAGAAACTGTGAGAAAGTGCTAAAACTATAAAAGTATTTTCCCACCAAATGCATTAAGAGAATATGGGGAAGCGATTTACAAGAAACAACATGATTCTATGAAATAGATTATAAACAAATATGTATAGTTTTACACAATACCAACTGATCAATCTGTAATATAAAAATATTATACAAATTATTTGTGTTCTCATTTTTGGGAAAGGGTATGAACCACCTGATCAGAATCTGTCAAAAAATCTGACAGTAACACATAATACATCAAACTCAAAATATAGGTCCTCAAAACAAATACAAAACACTTGCAATTGTGCTCTTACAGCAATCCATTTCCTGTATATAAAATCCTTTTTTTTGGAAAGAGAGGAAGAATTTAAGCATAGAGTTCACTGTTATGAATAAAGAAAATATAGGGACTCAACTTAACTTAATGAATAAACCATCCATACCTTCCATAGTTCTTTCTTAAAAAGCCACAACAGTTTAATACCTACCATGAACTTCTAGACTGCAGTGGTCCTTATCCACTCTGCCACATACCACAAGATTGTCATTTGACTTGATCACAAAGTCTTCTTTTTCATATTGGTCCTAAAAGAGTGCAAGTTGAATATGATTTATTTTTAGTCCAATTTTCAAAACCTTATTTTATCATTGTACTTAACAGATGTCAAGAAACAATTTTAGGTGCATACAAATATTTGGGAATGCTTATTAGTCTTTTAAAGACTAACTGAAATCAGTTGTGTTTTGAAAGATAATTTATCATGTCACCTAATAAAATACTAAGAAAAACCATTTGTGTACCTTTTTCAATCCCAGACTAAGCTTTCACAAATTTGAAAATAAAAGGTATTCAAAAACAGCAAATGAAAATAACTGTGTGTGAGGATACAACTAAAATAATTATAATGGAAAGATAACTGGGAACAGTACGAAATTATGACTTGAGGCATTCTTGTGCTTAAAAGAGAATATTCAACATTAATATAGCCCAAATTAACATATATTAGAAAAGCAGTTTATATCAAGTATGTTGTTGAAAAAGAAACCCAGAAATACTACAGTATAAAAAAGACAGATGTTCTTTTCAAATTGATTACCGTATATACTCGAGTATAGGTCGACCCGAATATAAGCCGAGGGACCGATTTTCCCACAAAGAACTGGGAAAAATTGGTGACCCGCGTATAAGCCGAGGGGGCATTTTGGCTGTTCCTCCCTGGCCGTCTTGGCCTCCCTAGCCCTGTCGGTGAGCGCCCGTCAGGGCGCAGCGTCACCAGGCCTCCCCCCTTTGTGCGAGGCGTCTGGCGTTCCCCCTCGCGCTTGGCTGCGGCGGCAGGAACACGCTGGCCCAGCTTATTGCTGCTGTGGCTGCCGCCGCCAGGCAAGCAAGCGGAGCGCAGCCGGTCCCCTCCCCCTCGCTCGCCGCTCCCGCCGTGGCTTGCCTGGCGGCGGCGGCGGCACCAGCAGCTGCTTCGAGACGCTGACTTGAGTATAAGCCGAGGGGGGCATTTTTCAGCCCCAAAAATGGGCTGAAAAACTCGGCTTATACTCGAGTATATATGGTAATCTGAAAAATTTCTTCAAATAACACTTATGATATGCCTACCACTCCAAATATTGAATGTTATCTTTAGCCAGTATTAAAACTATGTTATTAAACAGTCTCCAGTGTTATTAAGCCATGCTTTAATACTCACAGTATCTTTAATAGTGATATATGGATCATTTTCATTAGTTCCATGTACTGCAAGCCCTGCAAAGATCTCTCCAATGCCCTCTGTACCTATCATATGACAAACAGATTGTTCTTGATCAGACTCGTAATTGTGAAACAAGTAGCATCTTTTGTAAAGAGACACGATTGCACGTTCTTGAATAGAGAACCTGTTTGTGTACAGCAGGAAGGAGAGATAAATACCTGCATTTTCTTCATCATAGTTATCCAAGTCATATTCTGCCAATTCAACATTATCTAGATTATCATCGTCTTCATCTTTGGGAGCAGAGCTAGCTTCCTCACCATCAGCAACATCCATGGCACCTGAGGTTTCTTCTTGTCCACCTCCATCATCATCATCATCACCATCATCTTCTGTCCTTCATGTAAAAAAGGAAGTTAACAATATTTTCACTAATTTTGCATAGCTTAACATTAAAATGTCACTGTCTAATCTTTAGTTGTTTGAACAATTCCAAATTGTTTCTGTGCCAATAACTTTGCAGGTTCCACCTATCTCACTGTATAGCATCCCAGGTAAATATGAAGCACAGGATTGAGTTGTAAATCTGATGTTATGCACTTGGAGATAAATTTAGATCAATGACACAGTTGCAATCCCATAGAGACTTAACAATCAACAACTTATTTCCTTTAACTGGAAAATGCTTATTTGTGTCAAAAACAATCACATTCCACAGCAGTATCTTTCTCACAAAAAACAGGGTTTCAGTGTATTGAATGTATGTTCAATATATGTTAATACAATTATAAAACCTTATTAGACACCAGCACTTTTAATCATATGTAATGATCTGGGGGTTTTTTCATTCCAAAATTCTATTATAGAGTATCCCTGTTTTTATTCTTTTTTTCCTCAAACCTGAACTGATTGGTTTACTTTTGGCAGTTTGCGTCAATAATGTATTCAATCACAAAGATTTTTCCATTACTACTTCTACGCTAAAAATTTCATATATTATTTTCATATATCGCTACCACAATTCGATGCTACTGGACTTATGCTATAGATCACTCAGTCTAGTTTATATATTTACATCGGACAAATGTAATTAGACACAAACTAGATTTTAACTTGACTATTATTAAATTGAAGAAATACAGATGTTTTGCTGTAAATTGACTTTTTACTGAATATCAGCTTTCTCAAGCTCTTGTTCAAATGCAACCCAAACATACTGCAATCTGTCTTTAGCTTCAGTAATCAAGCGCTTCAGTTCTTCCTTGTCAAGTTGTACCTGCAACATAAACATGAAAAATAAAACCTCCTATAGTTAAATCAAGCTTGACGCTTGAAAAACAAGCCATTTTTGAAATGAGTTTCATCTAACATATTTTAATTAGGATTATTATATCTATTTAAAATGAAATAGCAGATCTATAGTTTTTTATATTGCTTTACTACTGTCTCCTGGTTGCCCATATTCTTGGTCCTCAGGTATGAGTTCTATTTCAACCACAGTCCATTTTTGACAGCTTGCTTTAAAAAAATCCAGTCTGAAAAAATAAGCTGTAAAACTCTTTAGAAAGACAACTATTAAATACAAAAAAATGTGTCCAGGAAATGCAAATGAAGACATTTAGGTGCAAGAATGACTATAGAAACAAACCAAAATGAAATAGTTAAAGTATTATGTGATAATCTCTGGTACATTATAAATTAAGGGAAGGTCTTTCAAAGATGGTAAACTAAACAATTCTATATGAGGGACAACTATAAATGCAGAGAATTACATATAAATATTAGGTTAAAACCTGGGGAATTATGGATACTATGTAATACAAACAAGAAGAATGGAAAAAAATAGTTGTGTTCCATGAAAACCCAAAGTTATTGCTGTTCTATACTGTTACATTACTGAATTCAAAATTGTTTTGGAAGATTACTCTGCTCGCTACACATAATTGTAAGATATTATGAACTGGCTTCATAAACGGGGACAAAATATTATGCCTGTGCAAAATACAAGAGCAGTGTGTACTCTACCTTGCAAAGTTCAGTAGTACCAGAAACTGATACCATGCGTTTTTTTGGTTTCTGATTTTCAAAGGAAAAAGCAAAAATACAACCCATTTTCTTAATTTAAAAGCCTTAAATTTAAATTAGCCTTAATTAAAACAAATATATACGAAATACATGCTCTTGAACTTGGCTGACTTCATTTCAGAGATGAGACACGGTGGAAATGTATACAATCATCTTCTCTTCTTTCGCTTTCCACATTGCCGTCCCTGCTGTTTTCGCATAGCGACTAATTTAGCCTAAAGCATTCACGGCTTTGCTGCCCAAAATGTCTGTAGGAGCTCTGAAATGAGGGGAGGTGGGGCTCTCCTCCGTCCTCACCTTGTCGGGCGTCTCCTTGGTAACACCTTGGGACACCCAGGCAACACAAGTTACGGGACGACTCATGGCTCTAACCGACCAGGAACCGAGCAGCTGAAGAAGGCTTCCCCGTACGCCGACACGTGCATTGCCGACTTCCTGTTCGGCCCACTGAGTCTTCCTGCTGACGTCCCCATGAAGCCGAAACACCCACCCTGTCGCCGGTCAAGAGCGCTACAAAATACTATAAGCCTCAGGGAGTGAGGTCATCAAGAAGCGACATGTGAGTCTCCGCCCCTTCACTATCAAGAAAGAGATCTCAGCAACGCCCCTCCCACCCAGCAACGTCACTGGTAGACATTTGAGTGGCGGGAGGGACATCCTTTTAAGCCCAACCTGGACTGGGAGACCTTCTGCGGAGCGATTCGCGTCCTTCTCTGTGTATTATGCAAGTTTCGGCTTCTTACCAAATTGAATGTTACCCCCCCCTTCTTACCCCCAACCCCCAAAAGGGAAGGAATTAAATAAAATTCATGGGAAATCTCATATCTAAGTTACCACTGTACTTTGGACGGATTTCCATTTTGCTTTCTGATCCATATAGAACTAAGAAAACTGTTTTTACGCTTACTTATTTTATTTTAAAGTATTTAAATGACCGCCCAACTCGAATATGACCTTCTGACGGGCAAACACATAACAACAGAAAATACCGTATAATGCCAACCAAAAACAGTTGCGAGAATTGATCGCTGATTAGGGACTCGGCGATCTTTGGGTATATTTAATTTAATTTGAAGTTGCTGTTGAGTCGATTCTTAATTATACGTGTACGGTACTGTAATTTTCTTGGCATGTTACAGAAGAAAGTTTTGTCCCCACCGTTTCGCTAAGCTGTTTGTTTCTAATAAAGGCACTGCAGAATCTTGAATGCTGACATCTGATCTGACTTCCCTGGAGACTCTGTAAATGCCTTGCAACTACTGTATGCAATTCAGAAACCGAAGTGGTACAATATAGTTTATATGCAGATCATTGTTATGACAAACACAGCAAAGGGTCTAATTTTGCAGAATGGTAGCCATATAAATCTGTTGCAGCAAAGATGATAAATTTATGGTTAGTTAGAAATTGTGGTGAACAAGATTTCAACTTACCACAGCATGTCTCATAGTAATATATATTGTGGTGTGAACAGATGTATAAAGTGGTTTCTAGCTTAAACTGGTATTTAGTTTAGAGGGTTCTGCAAGCTCAGCCAATTATGACACCACAAACCAAGGCTTTAAAAATGGCTATGCCTGTTTTCCTGCTTCTCTTTCTTACTTTTTCCTTATTCCTTGTGCTTTGCCATCTTTCTTATGTCTCCTTTAGTGACTTCTCATAAAAGAGTTCTGACTCACCAGAATGGGTTCCAATTACCTTGATTCATTGGGTTAGTTTATCTTTTGTTAAACTATAATTTAACCATGATATCAGGATTGACATGACACACTAAACTGAACTTATACCAGTCACAAGCCCATATAAAATGTGTTTGTAGACCCAATGAAAATGAAAGGATTTCCTGTCTTTTGTCAAACTGTAAAGTCAATAGCTAATGAATATAGGATTTTGCCATCTGATCACACAAGACAAGTTTATCCATAAAAACATATTTTAATTCTAACAATTAATTAAGGATCATATACCATTGTTGCTCACAACAGTAATATACAATTCACACAAAACATGGCTGATCTGACAAGAATGTTTTGCAGGCTGACTATATATATGTGTGTATAGACAGATAATATGGTTAGAGATAGATATCTTTCTTAAGGAATTTAATATACCAGAAGTCATGCAAATAATTTTAGAGCAGTAAACACAATAGGAGCAATCACTTGTTGACACTACCAAAATCATTCAAATACAGAAACAGTCATTTGATAAATATATACATACACTGTATTTTTGTTATTCTTTTTGTGGTCCCTTCTAAATATATTAAAGCATTGCTCCCGCCCTGCCAGGTCCTTATTAAAGACAAATCCAAAAATAGGATTTGGAGTATTTTCTACCAATATTGACCACCAGTATAAATTCTTGAGATATCTAACCTTAAATCCCTATTATATTTGAGGCACTTAACCATTGGTTGAGAATTGGGACAGGAAAAGCCAATACAAGTATTCATCTTCAAACAAATATTAATTCTGATCTATAATTCTGGATCATTTGAAGTCAGAAGTTGTCTTCGCCACATAAAATCTTCTCTTGGCCTGATTGCATTCATATTCATGTTCAAATATGAGTTTTAATCTGTATTACAGGAAATTCCAACATTGCAGAGGAGCATGAGATACATTCTAGGGGGCACACTCAGTTCTTGTGCAGTGTTTTACCTCTATAAGCACCAGGCTGCTCTGTAGCTTTTGAGTTCTCTTAGAATCGTTTGCAAAGGGTAAGAATTCAGAGTAAACCATCGGGTCCTGTGCAGTAAAGAAACTGATTAGAAAAGGCTCTCATCACTACAAAAGTTGAAAGCCACCAACTGAGAAGCATAACTTCAAGAATCTGGATCTCCTTCAGTAGTGCACAGCACCAACAATCAATTGAGCAGGATAGAGAATGCATATTAATACAAGCATTTTTTTAAAAATATCAAGATGCAACATATTTTACTTCTTTTATTACCCTGGTGTGTTCCTAACAAATTTTTGTTCTCTTCTATCTTTTATTGCAAAATCAATATATGTATGATCTATACAGCAATTAAGCCATCATGCTGAAACTTGAAGCTGACAAAAATTAACACTTTGAGTACAGCTATAAAAGCTTAACTCTTTTGTGCCACAAGACCATTGACATAAAACAAACAGCCAACTACTGACCTAGATATCAGTGCAATCCTTGGCAACAAACTCCATAGTTACAACTAATACATTTTTTTTACATGTGAGATTGCATTGACAGAACAACAGGTGTCACTAAAACTGTTCATTTGATGTTAACTAAAATGAAAGGAAACAAAAGTATTTGTTGTAGAAGGAAATGGATTTTCATGCTATTCTGCTACAAATAAGGTTTGAAAAAGAAACAAGTTTATATAATTCTTACATATCAATTTAAAAATTCAGTCAAGAAGTGGATCACATTCTATTATATGCCTTATCAGTGATACAATTTAGAATTTATGTTCTCTTTCATTTTCACTCACAAATTGCATGTACTTTACATTGTTAGCTGGTCTGAATTCATTAAAAATAATTCAGGAAAAAATACCAACATATTCTGAATCAAGCACTATGTATATGGAGATTCTTAGTCACAAGTCACCCAGGTCATGATTGTCCCAAGGGTGCTTTGTTCACGAGGCAACTGGACTTTTCTTGTTTTCTTTGAAACGTCTTCAAAGAAAAACAAAGTCCAGTTGCCTCGTGAAAAAAGCACCTTTATTTATTTATTTAATAAAACTTATATGCCGCCCTTCTCCCCCATGGGACTCAGGGCGGCTCACAGCATATGAGGACAATCAAGCACTATATTTCTTTTTAAATCCATTATTTTAAAATTCATTCCCCTCCTACAACATCTCTCTAATCTTCCACAATTGCCATTGCCCCCGTTTCACTTTTAATAAGTGGAATGTTGATTTCTCTAAGTCAGTATTTCTCAACCTCAACAACTTTAAGATTTGTGGACTTAATTTTCCAATTCTGATTGGGATATTCTGGGCATTAAAGTCTGGACATCTTAAAAGTTACTGTGGTTGAGAAACACAGCTCTAAGCTGTTAAAACTTGCCTAAGTCTGCACTTTTACCCATCCCCAAAAAGCAATGAATGCATTAAACTGCAGGTTCTCTTAAAAATTCTAGAAGCTTAAAACACAGTTCCAGAATTAAGAAATAGAGCCCTATTTAATCTGTAACATTTATTCAGCTTCAAACCTCATTACTAATACCATGGATTTTTTTTTAATAAGTATATTTATAGACAGAAAATGAATACAAAATCAGAGCTTTGTGTCACCATGATTTGCTGGACTAACTTGGCAACTCAAGTTTTAACCTCTGCTCATGTTTTTTCTCCAGACCATGATTAACACAATTTTATCTTGCTATTTCCATACCATAGTACCTAACAGAACAAAAGTGCATTAAAAAATGAGGAGAATCAGGACAATGAATCGTTCTGGGCTATTCTGCCAAAGGAAAAGACATATTTTGCTATCTATTGCTGGTGAAGAAAAATTGTCTGGCATTATATAGCCTTTATCTATCAGTTTAAATAAAGACTATATATACTATAACAATATTTCTAAACCATCTTTTGATCATATAAATTTAGGGCAGGAGTGAATAAATTATTTTCAAGCAGTTTTTGTTGTGCTTTCTAGAGTGCAAAGGGTACGGTGATACAAGATTTCAGCATTGGAAGTAGTGGGGAGAATCTGACACATTTAGAGTTGAGGGAATTTTAATTTAAATGCATTAAATTGAGGTTTAGCATGCCTATATTATTCTTTTTGGTGGAAAAAATACAGAAAATACCAAGCAATCCCCCTTCACATTTTCATAACTGCTGGAATATAATTTTATTGGTTTGGCACCATATTAATGGCCAACTGCCTAGTTTAGAACAAGGGCAATAAGACAGATGAAATATTTGCAAGATGAAAGGATAGGGTTTTTTTTTCCAGAAAAGAGCAAAGTATCTCTGATAAAGGTTTTCACTGAGAGCATAATCTTGTAAATAAGTCAAATATACTTTCCAGCTCCTATTCTATTTTTTTAGTTATTTGTCTGTTGGTATTGTAAGCAGATTTATCTTGGAAATACACTGTAGCAATTTTAGGAGAGTCTCCCCAATCACTCAAAGCATCAGAGTAATGCTGTAGATCAGGGGTAGTCAACCTTGGCTCTTTTATGACTTGTGGACTTCAACTAAGCTAAGCTGGCTCAGGAATTCTGGGAATTGAAGTCCACGAGTCATAAAGAGCCAAGGTTGACTACCCCTGCTGTAGATCCTAAATCATGTTATATATCTTATTAATAAGGAGTTTGGATAAACATCTGCTAGATCTCAAGGGAATATAATCCTAGTTTTACTGGTTTGTTGTTAGATCCAATTTTAAAATTCTATTTTAAAAAATATATTAAAAAAAATCTATTAAAACACTATTTTAAAAGTGTTCACATT